TTAACTCATAATATATGCTCACCGGCTATTGTGCGAGAACATAGAAACTTTTGAAGCATTTGAGGTGAAGGATGCCCTAAAAGTTCAACGTGAATCACGATTCAAGAAYACTTAGAGAAGACACTGCGAACCAGACAAGGCTGCAGGAAAACGATCGACATTTTTCAGAGTTCCAGTTCATGCATATTATAAACATGAACATAGAGTGTGATTCACCAAGCATGCCACCCCCCTCCCATTTTTTCTTTCACAACAAAATTGTTCAATTTCTGATTTTTGGATTATTTAAATATATATACTTAAAGACCATTTTTTTTAGTTCTTGAAGTTTTTTGTACCAACTGCTTGAGGAATGAGCAGCGTAGTGACAAAAACTGAATAACAAATTTGTGGTCAAAAACGGTTTTTCTAATATATTTACATTGATTTTAACTATTACAATTAGAACCGAACGAAATAAAATAATATAGGTAAATTATATTTAGAATCATCAGCATAATATAATACTTGTCTTATTAACGGTATAATAAGTCGCTAACAGATGAAATTTAGGAATTTATAATTTAAAATGCATTTTAATTTATTCATAAGCAAATAATAAGTTTAAGTTTAAAAAATGCCATGCATATACTTATAAGTATGTTCAGGTGCTCTATCAGTACACTCGAATGTACAATGAATTTATATTTTATACCGCATTTGATAATTTACTATAAAACATATTATTATATAAAACATTGAACAGTGCAAATGTTATAAAAATAACCTTCAATTTCATTTGAGAAATCATATTTTTCACCACTCATCGGAGTTGAATGACCGGAGTGGGTTAAAGAAAAAACAAAACATGTTTTTAAGTATTCTATCCTTATATACAAGTTATATATTTACACGGATTCAATTTAATTAATTGCGAAAAAAATGTATCAGTAATCCAGCTGGTATGTTCTTTTTCGACCTTGGGAATCAGTTGCACTTGATTTTAAGATATAATTGAACCTGTAAACGTCTGCACCGAATCCTCCACCCAATCTATCAAAAATGACCAATGACGTAGTATAAATTATAAAAATTAAACATTTCAATTGGTTATAAAATATAAAAAAAACCATTTAATGTTCTGCAAATGGAAGTTTAATTATTATTATTTGTCATTTCAGTGTAATCAAACATGCTTGAAAAACCARTTAAAAATTTAAAACTAAAATAATATATATGTAACTATATTATACCTAATATTTTTAAACGTAAATACCAACGCCTTGTTTTCGAATATTTAATTTATTGTCTTATAAACAAGTTACACATTTTTATGAATATATTATTATCGTGTAATATACTTAAATTATTTTATATGTGTAATACTAGTATAATAACGCAAGATACTAATTATAATTTCGTAAGCAGTTTTTAAAAATCCAATCATTGTATCTGTATGGTCTATATATAAAGAAAATTTATATTGTATTATAGAAACTTATCCAATCAGCTGTTTATTGATACGAAGTTATTAATACTAAAGCATTAACTACAATTTTTTCTTACATTTTCATCAGAATACATATATATATGATGTAAATATATTTTTCTTGTATGTTTTGAAATATCATCATTGACAAATCACCTAATAAATTTAATTTTAAAATTATATTTACCAAATATTTATAATAATCATTAGATTTGTCTATTTCATAGTATAGCGATCATGAACTAAGTCACAAATCACAATCATTATTAAATTATTATAATTAGTAACGTATTTTTATTTTGCGTTGTATATTATGATATTGAATTTCAGTTAATATCAAACTATAACAATTCGTACTGCATGGCCAATAGTGTGAAAARGTCAAATGGAAAGTACAACATMATACAYAATTTCAACATACGATAATATACAGAATACAGATACCTATGCATTACATTTTTTTTTTAAATAGGCGAGTTATTATAATATACAAAATTAAAGATTATAGAATACAAAATAAACTACTACTATGACTTATGAGCATGCTGTAGTTTTTAAAAACCACATTAGAACCTGCTAATATTAGAGCTTTCAAACCTTAAAGGTTTTTCATTTTTAAATATTCTTATAGAGTCATAGTAATATGATATTATATTTAAAATATCTAAATTGAAATTGGTCACATTGAAGTGTGCGGCTGATTAAAAATGTAATAATCAGTCCTATACATTTTATAGTCTGGATATTTTTTATTAAATTTGACAACATTACGCCGAAATACATCCGAATACATTCTACATTCTGCTTCTTGGTTGATCRTATAAGGATAGTAATGAGTAATTTTGCTAAATGGTTCCTTTAAAACTATAGTGGACAATAATTACTGGATATTATACTTATAATAAATCATTACATACGTAATTATATGTATACATTTTAAGTGCGTATTTTATGATAGTAATGTTATATGATCCTTAGGAATTATTGCGGCTTCGAAACGGCTAGATAGCATAAATTATAATATAATATATATATATAGTTCAA